ACCAGGTGGTCAGAAGCTTGTAGGAAGTCTCCTGGGTCTTTCTAAAGGTTCGAGTGCTGTGTCAGAGAGCAAATCTTTTCAGCATTACTGAACGTGCAGTACCGTATTGTCTCTCATTTACTCATACATTTTGGTTGTTCGTTACGGCTTTCAAGTTGTAGCATGGAGTATAGGAAAGATACCCCATGGGGCAAGGAGTCTGAAGCCATGCAAATGCTTTCAAATAGGTTTGGGTCTCTTGGACGGGCTTGTCCCATTGGAAGGGTGTCTACATAGCTCTTGATTTGGATGTACTCAAAGGCCTGTAGTAGTAAAGGTGTGAAGCTTCTTGTCACATCTGTTAAAGTCTAAAGTTTACCTAGTGATATAATGTGGTGAAATCTGGGATGAGTGTCCCCAATCACATCTCTAAAGGCCTTAGGGTCCAGTCCCAGTGGGAAGTCTGTGTTGTATGTCAGGGGTAATAATGGGGATGGAAAAGTAGATAGGCTGTATCTAGGCAGCATGTGACGCCTGACTTGGAGAGTGTCTTGTGTGTATGCAGAGTATCTCTGACCGTCCTCTGATCTTGGCATTCACAGTATTAAGGCAACTGCTCTCCCTCTTCCACCCCCTTTCATAACTCCGTATATATTAAGGAAGAACCCATGGCAATAGATGTGCAAATGATTGCTACTAAAAACTTGCAGAATAATTGTAATTGGTTAACTCAAGACAAGGTGCTGCAGCAACTAAAGAAAGTTAATATAAACAAAGTTCCAGGGCCTGACGGTATCCATCCACGTGTACTTAAGGAACTAAGTGCAGAAATAAGTGAACCTCTGTTTTTAATCTTTCAAGATTATTTTCTTTCAGGAAGTGCTCCGAAGGATTGGAGGAAGGCAGATGTGGTTCCTATATTCAAAAAGGGTTTGAAATCCTTGCCTGGAAATTATAGACCTGTGAGCTTAACTTCTGTGGCTGGTAAAATATTTGAAAGGTTATTAAGGGATCATATACACACAAAACAAGTATATCCCAAAGTATTAAAATTGCTCAAAACACCAGTGAGGTATCCCCTTCACCTTCACAGAATACAGTAATATACAACAAATAGGTGGAGCAATAAAAAACAAATACTGTAAATACTTCCCTCTCTTCAATATACAGCCACAAAACTGAAACAGAAACAGAGGGAGATACAATAGTGTAAAATAGTTTGAAAATGGCATTTATAGGAAATAGAAATTATCTAACCGCTAACATTGACTCTGTCTTTGGTGGCGAAGAAATTATGCCTATAAGAGATACATATGAAAATAAAGATATATGTAGAAATCATTTAGAAAGGTCTTTAATAAAAGAAATGAAAGCTAAATGGGAAATAGCCACTCTTAACAAGTACGTAAAAGAAAAAATAACTCAGAGAGGATTAAGATTTTATAAAGATCCAGCTTTTGATAAGGATGACCCATTTTTCATAGAAGGGTGGAACAAAATGTTGGATGGATTCTCGTTTAGTGCAATGGGATACATTGTATCTAGACGAGAAGACCATCTAACAAATTTAGATATTGAGATTAAGAAATGGAGAGATAAACTAAGTGAAACGACTAGTCCTGCAATTTTTAATAACATAATAGAAGAGATCAATAAGAAAGTGGAAAAAATAGAAAAAGAAGTGATAGAAGTAAAGAGGAAGAAATACCTTAGAGATACTAACGACTATAAAACAGGAAATGTGAGGATATATTACAAAAAGGAACAAAATAAACCCAACCAGTATAATGAAAATAGGAGAAACAGAAATATTACCCAGAGAATAGGGGATAGTATTCGAAGAACACAATCACAATATATGAAAAATAAGAAAGACAGAGAAAATAGACCCCCTTTCCGAAATACAAATAGACATCCAAATGAGGTAATTAATACCAATAGAAGTTATAGCGAAGTAGTAAGGAATGGCAATCAATATCAAAGGCCTGTTGAAAGAATACAGAATTCAAGATTTAGGGGTAACGAAGAGAGAATCCCTAATAAAAGAACACAGAATTTAAGATATAGAGGTGATGAAGGGAGAATTCCTTCTTTAAAAGGGATTACGACAAACAACAGATTTCAATGCCTGGAAAATCTCCCGACAGATCCTTTTCAACAGGACCTAACCCAATTAAAACGATTAACACACCATCAAGCATGGGAATCTCCGGGCAAACGGAGAAGATCCCTCGAAGAAGGAGAAATAGACGAAGACCTACTACCGAAAAGAGGAAGGAATTAACAACAGAGGGTATTTTTAATTTGACAGGATCTACATTAGAACAAGATCATATACAAGTTTTAAATAAAGGTCTCAAATTTGCCCCCACTACAGATTTTAATGAATTTAATTTTTTTATAGATTTAAATAGATTTATTAGGAATTTGTCCCTTAAAAAATTCTTTTTTAATAAAGATTCCAGTTCTACCGAAATATTAAATGAAGGATTTGTACATACAGAGCTTAAACAGAAATCGCAATTTTATCCTAAATTTATGGTCTCAGACGAAATGAAAATTTTTGAAAAAATGATTATGAGAGACGCACAAAAAATTAAGAAAACAAATAAGTTTCAAAAGAATCTCTCCACAAAAGAACAAAAGGCTATAAAAACACTTAATAATAACCAACATATTATTAAACCTGCTGATAAAGGAGGTGGCGTAGTGATTTTGAATAAAGAGGACTACGTCAAAGAGGCAGAAAGAATTCTCTTAGACACTAACACCTATAAAAAATTACCGAATAATCCAAGTTTGACTATACAGATAAAGTTTGAACAGTACATAAAGAAGGGGTTAGAAATGAAGATTCTTAAAGAAAAAGAAGCAGAATACCTGTCTATTAAACATCCTATGATTCCGGTTTTTTATTATCTTCCTAAAGTTCATAAAGATAAAATTAATCCACCAGGAAGACCGATTATTGCCGGAGTAGATTCTATTTCATCTAGGGTATCAGAATACATTGATATCCTATTACAACCCGTGGTAGTGAAAACAATTTCCTACCTTAAAGATACCATACACATATTACAAATTCTTAAAGACATAATATGGAAAGATGAGTATGTATTAGTTACCTGCGATGTTAGCTCCTTATATAGTATAATACCCCATAATATAGGTATACAAGCTGTGCAATATTTTTTAGAACAATCGGGTTTTAAACAGCAACAAATAGATTTTATACTTGATGGAATTTTACTTATTTTAGAAAATAATTCTTTTTGGTTTAAAGACTCATTTTTTATACAAATTACTGGTACTGCTACGGGCACCAAATTCGCTCCCAGTTATGCCAATCTTTTTATGGCATACTGGGAGGATAAGATAGTATTTCCACATCTTGCTGCTAAGAATTTGGTGTCCTATCATCGATATATTGATGATATATTTTTTATTTGGAAAGGAGGAGAGGAAAGTCTTAACCTTTTTTTAAATGATTTAAATGTTAATAGTTGGGGGATTTTTTTAACTTCTACTTACTAATCATATTAACTTTTTAGATTTAGAGGTTTTTATTTCTAATTCCACTATTAACACCAGGAACCATTTTAAAGATGTCGATGCCAATAGTTATATTGAGATGAGCAGCTGCCACTATCCACCATGGTTAAAGAATGTACCAAAGAGCCAATTCCTACGAGTACGGAGGAATTGTACTCAAGAGATTGATTACATCTCTCAAGCAGAGAGAATTAAGGAGCAGTTTTTAGACAAAGGGTATGAGACTGGAATACTACAGAACTGCATTGAAGAAGTTAAAAAGATTGACAGAAAAGATCTCATTCGTTATAAAAAGCCACATAATAAAACTACTGATAAACACACATTTAATATGCCTTTTATATGTAACCATAGTGGTAACAACCATAAAATTAACAAAATCGTCACTAAATATTGGCCAATCTTAAAAGAAGATCCTATACTAAGTCAAATTTTACCTAATCGACCAAAAATTGTCTATCGTGGATGTAAAAATTTAAAACAGATTTTAGTAAAAAGTAGTTTTAGAACACAACCTCCAACACATTTTTTAAACAAAAATAAAGGGTTTTATGGGTGTGGATCCTGTCTTGCTTGTAGGGAAACCAATAGCACCAAAAGACATATCACTTCATTTACATATAAAGATAAAAAATAGTTTACTATTAAAGATCAGTTAACCTGTTTCTCCAAATGCGTGATTTACATTTTAAAATGTCCCTGTAATTTAATTTATGTTGGCCGAACGATCAGATGCCTACATATTAGAATTGCTGAACATGTACGCAATATAAAAAAAGGCTTGGAGACACATAGTGTCTCACAACATTATAAAAAATGTCATAATAGTAATCCAAGGAATTTAATGTTTTGTGCAATTAAATCCGTTTCTAAAAATTGGAGAGGAGGAGATTTTATTAAAAGGATTGGTGAGGAAGAAATGCGATGTATATACAACTTTAATACCCTCATTCCAAATGGTCTGAATCAAGACTTTGAATTATGCCATTTTTTGTAATATTCTTTACAATCTATTTTTATTTATATCTTCATAATGGCCTTTTATAATGTATTGTTTAGAATGTATTGTGGTACATGTTATCTTTTTTTATTATGAGGACCATTTTCCTTTTTTTTATTTTTTTATTCCAGTATATTTTATATGGGTACTGCGATAAATTCTTTCTTATTTCTATTTTTAATTATGATGCTTTTTTATTCTTGTTGATCTTCTTGTATTACTATATACATATATTCTTCATATTAGATGGAAGTACATATATCCTTGCATTAGTTGGTTCTCATTTATAATGTATTACATGTATTTGGGTATATTTGTTTTTAATTTCCATGTGTGGAACGCATGTGCGTTCCACTACCGTCATGTCCGCTGTTTTTTGTTTTTTTTTTAAAGCGGATGTGGGGGGGAGTGGAGCGCACGCGCGTTCCACAAGCACTATGTCCGATCATGTGATCGGACAACACAGGAAATGGATATTGAATCCGAAGCAGGAAGCGGATGTGGAGAGGAGTGGAACGCATGTGCATTCCACAAACACTACGTCCGATCATGTGACCGGACAATACAGGAAATGAGCATTGAATCGGAAATTATGCGTTCCACGGATGAAACCGGAAGTCGACGCTGTGCGTTTCACAGATGAAGATGGCGCCAAAATCAACTATATTAAAGAAGAAAGAGACTTTTTACATTGAATATCCACCAACTGAGGAAGCCTATTTGGCGAAACACGTTTTGGTGATTATATGGACTTTGTTTTATGTTTTTCTTTTATTTCTGGAATAAATTATTACTTTTGAAGTAGATATTGTTCCTGCATCATCCTTCTCATCTACTGGAGTGGGATTTGGATCTCCCTTAAAGGATCCTATTGCTATCCAGACTAGAGCCAGGTTACTTTATGGCTCTATCCTTGTGAGTGTGCCAATTATAGATATAGTGATTACTTTTTGTCTTACCAGTTTTACACTATTGTATCTCCCTCTGTTTCTGTTTCAGTTTTGTGGCTGTATATCGAAGAGAGGGAAGTATTTACAGTATTTGTTTTTTATTGCTCCACCTATTTGTTGTATATTAAGGGATCATATTCAAGAATTCCTTGAAAAGAACATGGTTATCAGCAAAAATCAGCATGGTTTTATGAAGCACAGGTCATGTCAAACTAACTTGATTGCGTTCTACGAAGAAGTAAGTAGAAGTATAGATCAGGGTGTTGCCGTGGATGTGATCTATTTGGATTTTGCCAAGGCATTTGATACAGTTCCACACAATAGATTAGTGTTCAAACTCAAGGAAATCGGTCTAGATGAAAATGCTTGTTCTTGGGTAGAACATTGGCTTAAAAACAGAGTACAAAGAGTTGTCATTAATGGTAAATTTTCAAGCTGGAGAGAGGTGGCAAGTGGTGTCCCTCAGGGGTCTGTTCTGGGACCCCTTCTATTTAACATGTTTATAAATGATCTAGAAGACCGCATTGAAAGTCATGTTTCAGTGTCTGCAGATGACACCAAACTTTGTAAAACAATACAATGTGAGCAAGATATTACTTTGCTGCAGAGGGATTTAGATAGACTTGGGGACTGGGCACTCAAATGGCAGATGAAATTTAATGTTGAAAAATGCAAAGTTATGCACTTCGGCGTAAAGAATATACAAGCAACGTATACCCTTAATGGAAGCGAATTAGGGATAACAACACATGAAAAGGACTTGGGAATTGTTATAGACAACAAACTATGCAACAATGTGCAATGTCAATCAGCAGTGGCCAAGGCCAGTAATGTATTGTCATGCATGAAAAAGGGCATTCATTCTCAGGACAAGAATATAATTTTGCCTCTTTATAAATCACTGGTAAGACCCCATATTGAATGGGGGCGGGGCCTGACCAGCATGGAAGACAGACGTGCTACTGCAGAGCTCCCCAGACAACAAAGCAAATAAACCTATTGCTGGTCCTAAATAACTCAAAATTGGCAACCCAAACAGACCTACTTGACCCACAAAAGGGCACAAAAACAACACTGGGGGCAGCGAATCGTCTGGGGTCAGCTGGCCAACCGACTTGTGACATGAGGCCTGGGGCCCGTCGAGCGGGAGAGGCGGCCGATCTCCCGGTCCTGCGCCACGGGATGCCGACACATCACGAGCGGGAGCCCCGTTACTCCCCCCCTGGACCGTCGGGGGTGATCGCGGTCCATACCAGGGAGGCGAACCTGGTACAGAGAGAGTGCAAGGGGGAACAGCGCTGACATGCATGCTACACGATGCGACACCCAAAATGGCGGATGCCTCATGTCTCCCCGAGCCTATAGACCCACAACTAGGGGTGCTACATAGGCAGGAGGCAATCTTTGCTGGTGCAAACTGGAGGCCAGAACGCAACCGCTCATCTCCACACAGGCAAGCAGCCTCCCTGCGAAGACACTACCTCCAACCAGAAAGAAGGCTCAGCAGGGCATAATTGCAGGACAGTCCTCATTAACACGGCATGCAAAGCTACAACGACCCCAGCGCAAGAGGGCGAAAACAGACAGGAGACACCACAACAGACGCAGGGCACAGCGGAGAGTCAAAACCCGCCAGGCCCGTTCATCCTGCCCGACAACGCCGAGGTACAGATCACTGCAGAATCCAGCCCCACGGCGGACACGAGCCCGAGAAGCAAACAGGTCACCTCATCTGACACTCGGACACAGAAGCCCACACCGCCCCACCGAGACGCAGAAAAGCAGGATACTCAGGAGAGCTCTCAACGACTGCGTCTGGCACCCAGAGGGGATCGGATAAGCACGGGCAGTGGAATAGGGTCTGCTGAGCATAGCTCGTTACAGCAGGACTTCTTTACACACCCTGCACACCAACTAAACTTAAAGTACCAATCTTTGAGCTAATACCATGTCACCCCTTGCTAAACCTTTAACTTTATTGCAAGAATGTATTTACCTAAACCGCAATGTGTTGCTAGCTAACCCTATCTAAATCTAAGCCCAGCTAGCACTGTTTTATGCATATACAGCCTAGCATGATTTATTAGGAGCAGGGATACTAATGGCTACCCGTGAACTGACTTACCTACTCGCTCATCCCAGTCAGTAATTTGCATGTCTAAAATATATTGCCTGTAAACCTACCGCATTGCTTTGCCTCACCACAGCAGTGCTTTACCACAAATGCAATGCTTTCCCTCTGTCTCTCCTCTGACTTTTCCTACCTGTCAGGCTCATGTTGATGCTTAACATTTATATTGTTATCTTAGATTATTTTATGATTTGGCATGTCCTGCATAGAAGGTAATGTGTGCACTGCTGTCTCTGCCGCAAATCTCCATGCTTTACATAACAACACAGCAGCATATAACAGAGGTGCACTAACAGCGCTCTTGCCATGTTTGACAACATGCTGGATCTAGTACACTGCATTCTACACTAAATGGGCAGCCTGGCCTGTTTATTATTTCTAAGCAGCCTATATCACCAGTTTTATATATTTGATATACATGCTCACGATCAACCTCCCAGGTGACTAGGCACGAATTGTTATTGTTATAACCTTTAGTTCAGCATATGTTCTCAAGCATGTTAAAAATGTATCGGCAAAATGTACAATCTATATATTAGACACTCTTTTCTAAAGATATTTCACGAATGCCAATACAATTATTTTATTTGCAACAATCCCACCAACGTTAATAACCGGTTTTAATTTATTTAAAAAAACAAAATGTGCAACTGTATACTGTCATGACCATGTCTGCATTATCCTGCCTGTGTCTGCTGTCATGGCACCACAGGCCTGTTTGTACAATCAATTGCACCAAAAATAAAGAATTAAAAAAAAAAAAAAGACCCCATATTGAATATGCTGTGCAATTTTGGGCACCTGTTCTAAAGACGGATATTATGGCACTAGAAAAAGTGCAGAGGCGGGCTACAAAATTAATAAAAGGAATGGAACATATCGGCTATGAAGAAAGGTTAACAAATTTAAACCTCTTTAGTTTAGAAAAACGTCGCCTGAGAGGGGATATGATAACATTATACAAATATATTCGGGCCAATACAAACCATTGTGTGGAAATCTATTCACAAACCGGACTTTACATAGGACACGAGGCCATGCGTTTAGACTGGATGAAAGAAGATTTCGTCTAAGGCAAAGGAAAGGTTTTTTTACTGTAAGAACAATCAGGATGTGGAATTCTCTGCCTGAAGAAGTGGTTTTATCAGAGTCCATACAGATGTTCAAACGGCTACTAGATGCATATTTGCAAGAACAGAATATTCAAGGATATAATCTTTCAATGTAGGGTAATAACTGCTTGATCCAAGGATAAATCTGACTGCCATTCTGGGGTCAAGAAGGAATCCTTTGCAATCAATTACAGCCTGAAGTCTGGAACGCATAGGCATAACCAGACGCTTGGTTTCATCCCTGGTGATGCTCTACCAGGCCTGTACTGCAACTGTCTTCAGTTCCTGCTTGTTCTTGGGGCATTTTCCCTTCAGTTTTGTCTTCATCAAGTGAAATGCATGCTCAATCAGATTCAGGTCAGGTGATTGACTTGGCCATTGCATAAAATTCCACTTCTTTCCCTTAAAAAACTCTTTGGTTGCTTTTGCAGTATGCTTCGGGTCATTGTCCATCTGCACTGTGAAGCGCCGTCCAAAAAGTTCTAAGCATTTGGCTGCATATGAGCAGATAATATTGCCTGAAACACTTCAGAATTCACCCTGCTGCTTTTGTCAGCAGTCACATCATCAATAAATGCAAGAGAACCAGTTCCATTGGTAGACATACATTCCCATCACTCTGGTACAAGTTGATCTTGGTCTCATCTGTTCATAGGATGTTGTTCCAGAACTGTGAAGGCTTTTTTAGATGTTGTTTGGCAAACTCTAATCTGGCCTTCCTGTTTTTGAGGCTCACCAATGGTTTACATCTTGTGGTGAACCCTCTGTATTCACTCTGGTGAAGTTTTCTCTTGATTGTTGACACACATACACCTACCTCTTGGAGAGAGTTCTTTATCTGGCCAACTGTTGTGAAGGGTGTTTTCTTCACCAGGGAAAGAATTCTTCGGTCATCCACCACAGTTGTTTTCCGTTGTCTTCCTGGTCTTTTGGTGTTTCTGAGCTCACCGATGCGTTCTTTCTTTTTAAGGATGTGTAGCGTTACTCACCTTATCCAGGGGCCGGCCGCGGTCCTCTCTTCAAGCCGCTCGCGGTCCTGCTGCTGCACGAGCCGCGCGCGGCTCATCCGACAGCTCCACTAGCAAGGCAGGCAGTGACCGCGAGAAGCGGTCACGTGTCCCGCCTGAATCTAAGAGCGTGCTGCGAGTCTTTGGCGCGCTCTTAAAGAGACAGTGGGAGCCTAAATTGTCAAAAGGCTCCCATTGGCCCCTGTCATACCACACTCCCCATACACTTACCTTTTGGGGGTGTGGATATGACAGGAGCCAATCACATTAGTTTTGAAGCTATTTAAACTTACCTCTCCCTTTACTCCCTGCCCTATTGTGGTTTCTGTATCAGTTCCCTTTAGCGCTTGTTGTGTTCAGTTGTGTTTCTCCGTATTGACTTTGGCTTTGTTTCTGACTACGTTTTCTCTTTATCCTTATCTGTTCTGGTTGTCGGCTTGTTGTTTACTGTGTACCAGACCCCGGCTTGTCCTAGTTTACGCTTTCTCTCTGTGCCCTTGATTTCGGATTGTTCCTGACTCTGTCTCCTCTCTTATACGTCGAGTCCGGCCATTCTAAGGTCCGGTAGACGTATCTCTCCTCTGTGTTGTCTTCTGTTTAGCTGAATCCTGCGTGTTGGGGTATATTCTCGTTACAGGATGTTCCAAACAGTTGATTTGGCCACACCTAATGTTTCTGCTATCTCTCTGATGAGTTTGTTTTATTTTTTGAGCCTAATGATGGCTTGCTTCACTGATAGTGACCAGGGCCGGCGCTACCTGTTAGGTGGACTAGGCAGCCGCCTAGGGCGCCCCTTGGGAAGGGGCGCCGCCAGGAGCGCCGGCCCCCCTCATGCTGCAGCCTTTCGAGCGCTCTGCAGAGAGCCTGTTAGTCTGGCCGGGTACAGGAAACAAAAGCTCCCTTTGTTTCCTACAAACATGTAGTTGATTCCTTTTTATTCCAGAAGTTTGGTCCTTAAGGGGTTGAAGGAACACTAAAGGGTCATAAACACAATCATGTATTCCTGACTCTATAGTGTTAAAAGCACCATTTAGCCCCCCTACCCCCACCCCATTTCCTCCCTAAATATAGTACAATCTTACTTCTATTTAAGTCTGCAGCTGCTGCCTCTGCCCGTGATCTGCCTGCTTGGCTGATATCATCAGAAGTGATTCTCTGAGCCAATAACAATGCTTTCCCATATGATTGGCAGAGTCAGACAAGCCAAACACAGACCTGGCCAATTGGCATCCTCACAGAGATGCATTGAATCAATGCATCTCTATGAGGAAGGTTCAGTGTCTGCATGCAGAGGGTGGAGACACTGTGCAGCACTGAACCAGGAAGCACCTCTAGTAGCCAAATTAAATTAAGATAAAGGAATAAAAGACACTCCAGGCACCCAGACCACTTCTGCCCATTGGAGTGGTCTGGGTGCCAACCCCAACTACCCTTAACCCTGCAAGTGTAACTAATACAGTTTTCATAAACTGCAATGTTTAAATTGCAGGGTTAAGTCCTCCTCAAGTGGCTGTCTACTAGAGGGACCGTGTTCATAAACCACACAAAAAGTGTTTTAAAACGATGCTGGACGTCCTCACGCGTCGACGAAATCCCCATAGTAAAGAATTGTATAATGCTTTCCTATGGGGGGGTCTAATGCGCGTGCGCGGCCATTGCCATGCATGCGCATTAGGTCTCCCCCGCCGCCGGTCATGCACGTGCATTAGGTCTCCCCTGCCGGCTGACGTCGGCGGAGAGGAGCGTAGGCGTAGCCTGACCAGCGCCGAGGGACATTGGCGCTGGACTCCGTTAAGTCACTGAAGGGGTAGTAACCCCTTCAGCAACTTGGGATGGGGGATGGGAAGGAGAGGGACGAGAGGGTCCTGCAGTGCCAGGAAAACTATTATGTTTTCCTGGCACTGGAGAGCCCCTTTAAGCAGGTAAAAGGTCTGGAGCTGATTCCAGGTGTGACATTCGTATTTGGAAGTTGTTGCTGTGAACACACAACATGCCGTCAAAGGAGCTCTAAATGCAAGTGAAACAGGCCATCTTTAGACTGAAAAATTAAAAATTAATCAGAGTGATAGTAGGAACATTAGGAGTGTCCAAATCAACATTTTGGTATATTCTGAGAAAAAAAGAATGCACCGGTGAACTCTGCAACACAAAAAGTCCTGGACGTCCACAGTAAACAACAGTGGTGGATGATCATAGGATTCTTTCCATAGAGAAAAACACCTTCACAACATCCAGCCAAATAGAGAACACTATCTAGGAGGTAGGCATATCATTGTCCAAGTCTACCATAGAAAGAAGACTTCACAAGAGCAAATACAGAGGGTTCACCACAAAGTGCTAATCATTCATAAACCTCACAAATAGGAAGGCCAGATTAGACTTTGACAACAATAATCTAAAAAAAGACAACCCAGTTCTGGAACAATATTCAATTTGTACCAGAATGATGGGACGAGAAACATATGAAAAAGGCTTGCAATGGCTCATGATTCAAAACATAGTCTGTCATCTGTATGCCATGTGAAAGTGCAATGATGACATGGGCATGCATGGCTTCCAATGAGCACTGGGTCACTAGTGTTTATTGATAATGTGACAGAAGACAGAAGCAACCAGATGATGCTCTCATTCAAGACTTCTCTAGGGCTGCACTGTTCCTGTGGAACTCCCTTCCCTTTTCCGCTCACCCAGTCT